CTAAAAACTTTACCTTCAAAAACCAGCCACATACGTACCATTCTAAACAATTTCATCTAGAAACTTTCTGAGGAAATACTATTCTTTACCACAAAAATGGGAAGAAAAAATAATTACAAACTGTTTTCATAACCAGCATTAAAAATACTATATAGAACCAAAATAAAAAAAATTAGTCTGAAAAAGAAACGTTTTTAACAAAAAAATTGTTGGGGAAGGGGTAAGGTTTTCTTCTGTTACCTCAGACTCTAAGAGAGGAGAACTCAGAGACAACTTGGAGGCCTGAACATCCTCTGGGCAGAATGTTCTTCATGCTGCACTGACTCTCTAACCTAAACGTAGTGCTACTCCTCAGTAATGTCCAGGTGTTTGAGGGAAAAATCACCTTCCAGATAGAAATTCTTCCTTAATAAACCCATGCTCTCCCCCCACCTCTCTCAGTGATGGAGAAGGCATGGCTTCCACACTGTCAAATCAAGCTGCTGGCTCACATGAGAACATTCAACTATTATTTCAGATTCCGGATTTTCCCTCAAAGCAATATCAAATCCTACATTTTTTATGCCATGAATAGCAATTTTCAGGTAATATGCATAGAAATGTCTTCATAATGAAGATGAATTCTCTCAAGTAAAAAAAAAAATTCTAGCACAAGAGAAAAATATTTTGTTTAAAGGACATTTCCATTGAGATAATATAACAACAAGTTAATTTTCATAACAACAAATCTTTGAACAGTTCTGGTTAAGTTCTTTTAAACTCTTTTATTTCTCCTTCATATAATTTTTATAGTTCTCCAAGTGCCCTACCTTTTACTCTAGAAATACTAAGTATTTGTGATAACAGACAATATTTTTCCTTTACTGATGAAATTCCCTCCCCTCCATGCATCACTACGATTGTAGATGGCATAATTAACTTAGTTAGAAGGTAAATATATTGTGAACATTTTGGAGCATTGAAATATAAGAAATTGATTTGAAAATTAAAGATTATTCCTTGCTAAAGCAGCCTCACAAGAATTTTTACATATCAACACAATTATTCTAGACATAATAACTGTCTCTATCTAGAAGAATTTCTTTTATATTTTAAAATTCTTCATTTTACTAATAACGTAGTACATCTTGCTCTTTCAAAAAGATTATAAATTGCCACCACTTGACTACATTTGATGAACTGTGGTTTGGTATTTTTTTTTTATATCTTAGAGAAACTACCTCCTTTCCCCAATAACCACTGTACTCACCACACAGGCCTGAGGGGCACAGCAGTAGGATCAAGACCCCCAGGAGGTACAGGGCTGGGAGAATGCCCTGCAACTTGGGGGGCATGGTGCAGAGTCTCAGAGGTGCCACACTGGGCTCAGCTCTCTTAGACACCTCGAATCAAAATGAAGAAATGTTCTGTAAGTAACAGTCAAAAAGGTGCCTAAACTAAGGAACTCGGCCTTGGCAAAGGCCCAGCACTGTGTCACTAAAGGGGAGGAGTATGGGGAGTGACTAGGAGACCAGGGGCTGAGCTCAGTTCTATCAGGGTGAGCTGGAAAGTTTTGGGAAGAAGAGTCTGGAGCTTGATGCAAGAGCCCGGTGGGGTTCTGTACATATTGACTATTGTAACCCCAAGACTTCATTGCTGTTGGGATGGTAACGGTAATGAGTTTGTTTCTGGACATATGATTCCTCTCTGAGTAAATGAAGGCAGAAGGCACCAGGATTGCAGGTCCTGATGCACAGGGTATGTGGTGGGCTCTCCAGGAATTACAAGGTAGAGTATGAGAGAAAGGAAACTGTCTGAAAAACAGCCCTTGTCCAACAAATTAGTTTCTTCAATTTGGGGTTTGAATTGCTCATAGAATAAAGTTTTTAATGTAGAGATTTAAATTTCTTTCTAGTTAGCCTATGGTCTATGCCAGTGATGGCGAACCTATGACACGCATGTCAGAGGTGACACGCGAACTCATTTTTTTGGTTCATTTTTCTTTGTTAAATGGCATTTAAATATATAAATATCAAAAATATAAGTCCTTTTTTTACTATGACTGAAAATAACAAAAAATTTCTATATGTGACATGGCACCAGAGTTAAGTTAGGTTTTTCAAAATGCTGACACGCCGAGTTCAAAAGGCTTGCCATCACTGGTTTAGGCATAAGAGTCTAATATGAGTCTGTGGAAAAATACTCAAGAATCCATTCTAAACAATAATATATATTCAGCAACTGCTATGGCAGAACAGCTGGGCATCCAGAACAAAGGGTCACTATGAGGCACACTGACAACCAGGGGGCAGTCCCTCAATGTAGGAGCTGCCCCCTGGTGTTCAGTGCGATCCCACAGTGGGAGCGTTGCTCAGTCAGAAGCTGGGCTCATGGCTGGTGAGTGTAGCAGTGGTGGCGGGAGATTCTCCCACCTCCCAGCAGCACTAAGGAGCTGTGAGCCAGCATGTGGATACTAAGGAGTGAACAGGCAGGTGGTTAGGAGCAAGCAAGTGGGCAGATAGGTCCTGGATTGTGAGAGGGCACAGGCTGGGCTGAGGGACACCCCCCACCCCAAACACAAATTTCATGACTCAGGCCTCTAGTTCTTCTTATAATACTTCAATGGGAGCCTCTTTCCTTCCTGGGCTTGCTGATATACATGAAACACCAAATGGCTCACTCTGTGAAACCGTTCTGGGTGGGAACTATGCTAGTCTGTGTCTGCACCTGAGAAGCATGCACTGAAAGGTAAATGGCTGGAGATGATCAATTCAGGAGAAAGGAAGGTTCAGTGTGACTTTTCAGATATCTGGATGATGCTGGATGCGGAGGAAGCCCAGTGCTTTGTCTCTGAGCAGTAAGAGATTTTTTCTCTAATGCAAGGCAGTTGATGCAGATATAATCAGTCAAGTTCTTAAATGCCATTAGTTGACATCTGTTGCTTAGCAATGATTCATTCAAGTTCTGGTCATCAAAGGCAGAAGACATAGTCACACAAGTGTCTAGATCCAAACATAAAAACCAATCATTTTTTATCTCAAAAGTACACTTGTATCAACTGGCAGAGGCTGCCTGGAGTACAGTTTGGAGAAGGAGGTTGAGTTTGTGCCAGATTTAGCAAAAATGAGGTTCTCCTAGCCTTCAACTGTTTATTCCCTCATTTTTATTTTACTTTAACCTAGACCCGTGGCCGGCAAACTGCGTTTGGCCCCTTGAGTGTGGCTCTTCCTAAGCCTTAGAAGCACCCTGATTGAGTTAATAACAATGTACCTACCTATATAGATTAAGTTTAAAAAATTTAGCTCTCCAAAGAAATTTCAATCGTTGTACTGTTGATATTTGGCTCTGTTGACTAATGAGTTTGCTGACCACTGGCCTAGGTCACAGGTTTTAACTTCCTCATTGCATAAATGAGGAAACTGGTTAATATAGAAAAAGTAACCTGCCATCAAACCTCTTAGTTAGTGTGTGTGTGTGTGTGTGAGTGAGTGAGTGAGTGAGTGTGTGTGTGTGTGTGTGTGTGTGTCTGTTTCCTGATGAGCACACTATCAAAAATTTAGATACATCTACATCCATTCTGGAGAAACCGACTGAAGACAGTTTGTACCACAAGTGGACCTCAAAGACTAACTCTAAGAATCGGATTCTAGACTTGGATCACCCACCAGCCAACTGGCAATCACTGGTTATGGGTGAATATTGACAGTCCTGCTTGCTGTAGCATTGCAGCTATGAACATGTTCACCTGGAAAGTGCCACGGGATGTAGAAGGAAGGAGGAGCATTGGCTTGTACAATACCTCAGACACTTGAGAGGGGCAGTGGAAATGGCAATAATGGTTGTGAAACTGGGTGGCTGGGTGCCATTCATACAGATTCAGTGCCCCTTAACTGAAAAAATGAAAGATCAAGGCAACCAATCACAATTCAAATACAATTGTGAAAGCCAGAAGGCGTCCTTGCCAATATTTAAAGGAAGCTTGTCTCAGGTAGCTGGGAGGCTAAACTAAAGGCCACACTCAGGATATAATCTTAAAAGTTCAACAAATTATCCATCAAGTATTTGGATAAAAACACTTTCAAATACGTAGGAACTCAGTATTTTACTTTCTATTAGGAAATACATCAAAAAAAGAGGAGAACATGAATTCAAAAACCAAAGGCAGACAGAACAGGAAAGCAAGTACAGACAGGAAAACCTCCACTGCATGTCCAAGTGTGTGGCAGACACTGGCAAATTCCTGTCAAGATCACTAGGGCCCTCTCACTTTGGCACACTCTGGACCACTTCCAACCCCAGGGACTGCTTTTTCTTTGAAGTT